GTGGGGTTGTTAACCAATGTCATAAAACAATATGTGTACTGATTGTTTAATGAGAAACTATTTGTTCTGTAAACCTTCATCTAAAGTACAATAAAAAAAATTTATTAAAAAAAAGAAATCAAAAGATGCATTGCATTGGGCAAATCTGATACAAAACACCTCTTTAAAGTGTTGAAAAGCAAAGATGTCACCTTGAGGACTAAGGTGAGCCTGACCAAGCCATAGGGTTTTCAATTGCCTCATATGCATGTGAAAGCTTGATAGTGAATAAGGAAGACGGAAGAAGAACGGACACCTTTGAATTGTGTTGGCGAAGAATACTGAATACACCATGTACTGCCAAAAGAATGAACAAATCCGTCTTGGAAGACGTACAACCAGAATGCTCCTTAGAAGCAAGGATGGTGAGACTACGTCTCATATACTTTGGACATGTTATCAGAAGGGATCAGTCCCTGGAGAAGGACGTCATGCTTGGTAAAATACAGGGTCAGCAAAAAAGAGGAAGACCCTCGACAAGATGGATTGACACAGTGGCTATAACAATGGGCTTGAGCATGGCAACAACTGTGAGGATGGCGCAGGACCAGGCAGCATTTCGTTCTGTTGTGCATAGGGTCGCTTCGAGTCAGAACCTACTTTATGGCACCTAACAACAACAACAACATGTGCAAAAAATTGAACCATGCAGGAAGCATCATAAGAAGATGGAAGGAATACAGAGTCATTGTACCAAAAAGAATTGGTCGACATTCAACCATTTCAGGAGGTAGCATATGATCAGGAACCAATGGTACTGAAGGAACAAGTCCAAGCTGCACTGAAGGCCCTGGTGAAAAACAAGCCTCCAGGAACTGAAGGAATACCAATTGAGATGTTTCAACAAATGGACAAAGCTGCAAGCGCTCACTGATCTAAGCCACAAAATTTGGAAGACACCTACCTGGCCAACTGACTGAAAGAGATCCATATACCTGCCTATTCCAAAAAAAGGTGACCTAATGGAATGCAAAAATTATCCAACAATATTATTAATATCACATGCAAGTAAAATTATGCTGAAGATAATTCAAAAACAATTGCAGCAGTACATTGACAGGGAACTGCCAGAAATTCAAGCTGGATTCAGAAGAGGACATGGAATTAGGGGTATCATTGCTGATGTCAGATAGATCTTGGTTAAAGGCAGAGAACACCAACAAGATGTTTACCTGTGTTTTATTGACTAGGTAAAGGCATTTGACTGTGTGGATCATAATAAATTATGGATAACATTGCAAAGAATGGAAACACTTAATTGTGCTCATGCAGAACCTGTACATAGACCAAGAGGCAGTCATTTGAACAAAACAAGAGGATATTGGTGTTTTAAAATCAGGAAATGTGTTTATCAGGGTTGTATCCTTTCAGCATACTTATTCAATTGGTATGCTGAGCAAATAATCTGAGAAGCTGAACTATATGAAGAAGAACGCAGCATCAGATTTGGAAAAAGACTTGTTAATAACCTGCGCTATGCAGATGACACAACCTTGCTGGCTGAAAGTGAAGAGGATTTGAAGTACTTACTGATGAAGACCAAAGACTACTACTGGTACGGTGACTCTGTATTCCTTCCATCTTCTTTTGATGGATTACACTTCAACATAAAGAAAACAAAATCCTCACAACTGGACGAATAAGCAACACCATGATACATGAAGGAAAGACTGAAGTTGTCAAGGATTTCATTTTACTTGGATCCACAATCAATGCCCTTGAAGTAGCAGTCAAGAAATCAAATGACGTTAACATAGTTTTTAAAGAAAATGTTCTACATTCCACTTTGGTGAGTAGCATCTGGGGTGTTAAAAGCTTGTGAGCGGCCATCTGAGATATTCCACTGGTCTCATCCTGTCTCGTGCAAGGGAGAATGAAGAAAACCAAAGACACGAGGGAAAAATTAGCCCAAATGTCTGATGGACCACAAGTACTACAGCCTCCACCAGACTGAGTCCAGCACAACTAGATGGCGCCCAGCTACCACCACCGACTATTCTGACAGGGATCACAATAGAGGGTCCCAGACAGAGTGAAGAAAAATGTAGAACAAAATTCTAACAAACAAAAAATAAAAATAAAAGACCAGACTTACTGGTCTGACAGAGACTGGCAAAACCCGGAGAACATGGCCCCCAGATACCCTTTTAGCTCAGTAATGAAGTCACTCCTGAGGTTCACCCTTCCTCAGCCAAAGATTAGACAGGCCCATAAAACAAAACAAGACTAAATGGGCACACCAGCCCAGGGGCAAGGGCGAGAAGGCTGGAGGGGACAGGAAAGTTGGTAACAGGGAACCAACTCAAAGTTGAGAAGGTGTTGACATGTCGTGAAGTTGGCAACCAATGTCACAAAACAATATGTGTACTGTTTAATGAGAAGCTAGTTGGTTCTGTAATCCTTCATCTAAAGTACAATGAAAAAAATACCAAAAAAAAAGAAATCAAATAACATATTGCATTGGGCAAATCTGCTACAAAAGCCCTCTTTAAAGTGTTGAAAAGCAAAGACGTCACTTTCAGGATTAAAGCGTGCCTGACTCAAGCCGGGGTATTTTCAATTGCTTCATATGCATGCGAAAGCTGGACAATGAATAAAGAAGACCAAAGAACTGATGCATTTGAATTATGGTGTTGGCAAAGAATATTGAATATACCATGGGCTTCCAAAAGAATGTACAAATCTGTCTTGGAAGAAGTACAGCCAGAATGCTCCTTAGACACAAGGATGGCGAGACTTCATCTCATGTACTTTGGACATGTTATCAGGAGGGATCAGTCCCTGGGGAAGGACATCATGCTTGGTAAAGTAGAGGGTCATCAAAAAAGAGGAAAACCCTCAACAAAATGGACTGACACAGAAGCTGCAACAATGGGCTCAAATGCAGCAACAATTGTGAGGATGGCACAGGATCCGGCAGGGTTTCATTTCATTCTGTTGTACACTGGGTTGCTATGAGTCAGAACCGACTCAACAGTACCTAACAACAACAGTAACAATATTATTATTAGTCTTATTACCACCATTTAGGAAGGACAAGTCTCACTGTAATTCAAATGAGGCAGGACAAAGAAAAAAGCCATACTTCTCTCCCACCCCCAATTTTCTCAAGGTAATGAAGGCCTAGCTAACAAAAGAGAAAAAATTTGTTTTCAAAATCATAAGGCTAGAGACTACAAATCTGTTCTATATATATGTATATATTTTTTATATGTTGTTGTGGTATGATTTGTTATATGTATATATATGTATATAGGTCCCTGGTTGCCACAAACGGTTTGTGCTTCTAACAAAAAGGTTGGCAGTTTATACCCACCCAGTGGAGCAGTGGAAGAAAGCCTGGCAATCTACTTCTGTGAAGACCACAGTCAAGAAAACCCTATGGAGCTCGCTGTATTCTGTAACGCATAGGGTCGCCATGAGCCAGAACCAACTCAACTACAATGTTTTTTTTTTGGTATATATATTTGCTTTTCTGGAAAGCAGCTAAGTATATGTCACTTCCTACTTCCTTCAAAACTGTTCTTCATCTATTATTCTAGATAACTTAGAAGCTATGTGAATATTTCGTTACTAATTTGCAAAGAAGATAGGTTTTCAATTCTTAGGCATCTTTCAAATAAAATGCAAGAATGAGGCATTTTTATATGACAAGAGTAAATGTAAAAAACCCTTTGCCTTAATCATTCTCAATGAAGTAAAAATATAAAACAAAAGTTCACTGAAAATAGAGACTGAAACCTTCTAGAAAAATATTTTCAATTACTATGTGTAGGGAGGAAAGAAGGGAAAGGTTTTCAATCAACTAGACAGATTTCAAATCCTCCAGCTGCACAATGTTTATAACAACATGTCCTGATCATCCCATTTTGTTCTTGGCAATTATAAAGGATCTGGTGATTAAACTACTTTGAAGCAATAAATTAAAGAGAGTAGAGTGAATATTAATAGACTCTATTTGAAAACTCAAAATTAGACTGCTTCAACTGGGCTCCAATGCTTCTTGAGTACAGGACCTCGAGTGCATTCCTTAACCTCTCTAAACTGGTTTTCTCACTTATAAAAGGGAGACTATAAAACTTCAGGGTTGTTGTGAAAATCAGAGACGAGGCAGTAAAACACCTAGAGCAGTGCCTGGAACCTAGTGGAGGGGCAACCAGACGGTGATGGCTAGTGCAATCACTCCCGCCACTGTACCACCCTCCTCGGGAAAGGTGATGGGACAGCAGGAATGCTAGTAACCCAAAACTTTGACAAATACTGAGTGAGAAATAAAAATCTTTTGATTTTAGCTTCCAGTGGGAAGCGGTCAGTCTTCTCCATGCTTCAGGTAAGCTTAGTACCAATGGGAAATTTACAAGAAGCGAACGTGCTTGCCCTGCGAGGCCATGGGGACTCTACATGACTGGTGCTTACTGTGATATGTGCCTTTTGGAGCCCCACAGCCTCCTTCGGTGAGGACAGGAAGTGATAGTTGGTTGGGCCCAAGGGTTTGCTGTCAGCTGAAAGGTAAAAGGAAACCACACAGCTTTGCCGAGTACAATTCCAACATCTCCGCAGCAGTGAAGGCACTGGCTCTTTATAGATGAGAATGGCCTCCCCTGAGTTAATCACAAAATGTCCAGTCACGTGAGAACACAAAGGTTCCAAGGAACTCCACGTGTGGACTCTCACCTGGGGAGAAGTAAAACAGAATGAAAACAAACATTCATGGTTGTTCTTTAATAATAGCAGTAATAATAGAGGGAAATTGGAAGAGTAGAACCAGTTGAGAACTATGGAACCTGCTAGGTATGTGACTTTGAGCAAGTAACTAAATTTCCCAAAACCTCCATTTCTTCCTGTGTAAAATAAGAACAATAATAACACTTACTTCATGGGTTGTTGTGAGAATTAAATGAAAAAAATCCATGGGAGGCACAGTGGCCTGGTACATCATAATTTTTCCGTATACATTGCCTACTGTCATTTTATTAGTATTCCCCAAACTGTAGCCACCCAACTTTGAGTTTCTAGCCTCTCTTTTTACTTAGCATGGTTTAAATATAAGCTTATTTTTCCACATACCCATTCTGCATAGTTTTACAGATTTGCACTTTAATATACCATATTTTAACCATTTCTTTTATACAGTTTGGGCTATTTCCAGCTCTTCATGATTATAAGTAGCCTTACATTTAAGTGGCACTTTATAGTTTTTAATTTGCTTTCATCTACTTATTTTATTCTCTACCCACAGCAACCCTTTAAAAAGAAAGAATGGTATCATTTTAAAGATGAATCACCAAGACATCATGGGTTCTGCTTCGGGTCACGTAATAAATGGCAGAGCCTTAACTTGAATATAGGTATTCTGACTCTAAGAACAACACATTTTCCACCATGGGCCCTACAAGCATTTTGGTACAAACTAACTTCTCTTTTCTTTTTCCCAAAACAAATAACCAAGGAATCAAATACATAATCTAAAGTCTATCTTAGAAGAAAAAAATCCAACTGACTTACTGTGAGCGTCACCCTGCATTCCGAGTGAAGATCTGACACACCATAAACATAAAACACATCGTGATCTTCAAAGCCCACTGGCAACAGTGCAGCAAAGAAATGCTGAGCAAAGTAATGAAGCATTTTCCACTTTCCTCCATACTCTGAAAATAATTAAGAAAGGTAAAAGATGGGCAGGCTCACACAGTCAGAGATTCATGTCCGTATGGCCCAGCTGAGTGTAGCTTATCCTAATGATTCTAGGGAGTGAGCATATAAGGGAGACTTAACAGAGGGAGGAACCTCCATTTGTGGGGGGTTGGGTGGGGACTGTTAACACACTTGGCTGCTAACTGAGAGGTTGGAGGTTCAAGTCCACCCAGAGGTGCTTTGGAAAAAAGGCCTGGTGATAGACTTCCAAAAAATCAGCCACTGAAAACTCTATGGAGCACAGTTCTATTCTGACACACATAGGGTCACCATGAATTGGAGTCAACTCCATGGCAACTGGTTTTACTGAATGAGCCAGGCGTGGTTCCAGAAGCATTCTGCACATTCTCTCACGTCATCCTCACAATGTCTGGTGAGGCAGTCATCAGCATCCCACTTTACAAACGAGGAAAGAGGCTCATATGGTTAAGTCAAACATGTAGGCGATGGTATTTTGAGCCCGAGCTAGCGCTGTCTCATATGCAATTCTGTTTTCAGGAGCTCAACACACTAATGTTCCTTGTGAACACGAGGAAAGAAATAAGTAGCATTGGCAGGGAACTGGTTACAAATGTTCATTTATAAGAGTTATTTAGAACTCAAAGTCCCATAGGCACAAAATCTTCTGAGCAAACCAAAACAACCGCTGTAAAAAAAAATATGCCTGGCAAGTTCAGACTGGAGGAAAACTTCCAAACTGAGGACAATTAATGACAGTTCCTCAAATACAATTAGAAGTTGTGGAGAACCTCAGTTCTGTGTCTTGTTGGCATGTCTAGTATGCTACACCCACAAACTTAAAAATCTTTTACCATCTTCCTTTCTCAAGATCCTTCTGTTTCAAAAGGAAGATTCTTCCCCACAAAGCACTGCCTCACTAAACAACTTTCTAGAAAAGAGAGGGAGAGACAGAATACTGCCAGAGTGCAAAGTGCAAGCTGCTGAGATGGAGGAATGTGGGTTTGAAGTTTGAGGGAAAAAAAAACAATTTCTTTAGGGTTTCGCAGAATTTCAGCTCTCCGCATTTCAACCCCAACTCTTGGTTAAAGAAAAAAAAGTTGCTGTTGAGTTGATTCCGACTCATGGCAACCCCACAGATATCAGAGTAGAACTGTGCTCCACAGGTTTTCAATGGCTGATTTTCGGAAGCAGATTGCCAAGCCTTGCTTCTGAGGCACCTCTGGGTGGACGTGAATTGCCAACCCTTTTGTTAGCAGCTGACGCGTTCACTGTTTGCACCACCTGGGGACTCCACAACTCTTAGTAATTCCTCTTAAAAACAATGACAACAGAGGGAGGTATGGGAGAGGCCACTCCTACTGAATATATAAGGTGAACTAGAACTCACATTTGGAAAGTTTTTTTCATAAACAGCGGATGGCTCAGGCTTTAGTTAACGTATACAGTATCATATGTGATAATCATTACAGGGTAAAGCTTTAAATGTGTGGTTCTAGAGATCAATGCCACAAATACACTGCCCTCAGGTGCACCAGAATTAAAGCAAAAGGTCTCACTGACACACCCGTGGTTTCTAATGAGTGACACAGTTTGGATACCAACATAGCACTACGTCATCTACTAAATTACAGGCTAAACATGATGTGATTTCTGGCTTTGTCATTAGCTCTGTGTCTTTGGGCAAGGCCTTAAACCTACCTATCTGTGAGACACAAGATACTCTTCAAATGTTCACTCCTGTCCCCTACTTACCCCCACTCCTTCTTGCTTTGGTCAATGGGATGTCAGCAGATAATGCAAGCAGGGGCCTGAAATGTGTCTGTATGATTGGGCATACCCTCTTATGCCTGTGTTGTTAAGAGGAGAATTTCCCCTGGGGTAGCTGCTGTTGCTTCCTCATGGGCCCTAGAATGAATACACATGAGCCCAAATGGCAGTGAGGAGCCAAATCCAACCAGACCACAATGTGAAGTAGAGTCTCCCTGCCAAGCCCCCACTAGATCAGCTAACCCCCAGCCACATGAGCTAGTCCATCTGTGATCAGCAGAGATGTCCCAGCCACTCTGCAAATGCATGAGAAATGAATTGTTGTAAATCACTGAGAATTGGTGGTGGTTTTCTATGACACATTATTGAGGCACTAGCCAACTGATACAGCATTCCTTCTTATTTCTCCTTCTACTAAGGATCTAGTTACTTGCAGTATTATCAATTCAAGTGTTCAGTAAAAAAAAAAAAAAAAAAAACACAAAAACTAGGCAAGTTGTAAGATAGAAGTTACTTCCAAACTCTAAATCCACTCTGCCTAGATGTTTCCTTCAGATCCTTTAAAGACCTGAATACTAACTCCTTAGCTGCATTTCATTAGTTACCTTTCCAAAAAACCAAACAACCAAACTTGTTGCCATGGAGTCAATTCTGACTCATAGCGACCCTACAGGACAGAGTAGAACTGCCCCATATGGCTGGTGGATTCGAACTGCTGACCTTTTGATTAGCCTTTCCAAAAGTTACTCATAAATAAGAAATAAAACCTCATTGACACAAATAAGGTAACTCTTGTTGTTAGTTGCCATTGACTTTGCCCCTGACTCATGATAGCACCATGCAAAATAGAACAAAAAGTTGCAGATCAGACTATTGTGATCCAAAGGGTTTTCACTGGCTGATTTTCAGAAATAGACCACCAGGTCTTTCTTCCTAGTCTGTCTTAGTCTGGAAGTTTCACTGAAATCTGTTCACATCATGGCAACATGCAAGCCTCCACTGACAGATAGGTAGTGGCTCCACATGAGGTGCACTGGCACAGAATCAAACTTGAGTCTCCTGCATGGAAGATGAGAATTCTACCACTGAACCACCATTGTCTTCAAGGTAACTGTACAGACAATTAACTTGTATAATAATGACTGATGCAATGAGAACATTTTCCCTTCATAGTCTACTGTAGCAAATATCTGTAAATATGTATGTAGGAAGTTCTTTAAACCTAAATGTTTATTATACTAGTCTCGTGGGACAACTGGGTCAATTGGCATAACATAGTTCATAAAGATAATTTTCTACATCCTAGTTTGAGGAGCAGCATCTGGGGTCTTAAGAGCTTTTGATCAGCTGTCTAAGATACAAGTATTGGTCTCTTCCCATCTGGAGCAAAAGAATGAAACCAAAAACTCAAAGAGGAAACTAGCCCACAGGACTAACAGCCACATGAACCAAGGCCTTTTCCAGCCTGAGACCAGAAGAACTAGATGGTGCCTGGCTACCACTACCAACTGTTCTGACCAGGGACACAACAGAAGGTCCCAGATAGAATGGGAGAAAAATGTAGAACAGAGCTCAAATTCCTAAAAAAGACCAGACTTACTGGACTGAGAGAGACTAGATGAACCCCAGAGACTATTGCCCTAAGATACCCTTATAACTTGGAACTGAAGTGACTCCTAGAGGTCTCCTTTCAGCCAAATAATAGACTGGCTTATAAAATAAACAATATCACCCATGAGGAATACTGTCCCTTAAGCAATCAACTGTACAAGACCAAACATCAACATCTACCCAAAAGCAAAGATGAGAAGGCAAGGAGCGGCAGGGAAGCTAGATGAATGGAAACAGAACAAACAGAATGGATATAATGAGAATGCTGACTCATTGTGAAAATTGTAACCAATGTTATGGAACAATTTGTACAAAAATTATTAAATGGGAACCAGATTTACTGTGTAAATTTTCACCTAAAACACAATAAAACATTTTTTAAAAATGTTTATTACAAAGTAAATTTGGCCTAGGAGTCAGATCTGAAAGTCACAACTAAAATAAAATATCATAGATCTATACGGTGGCACAAACCATTAAGCACTCAGCTGCTAACCAAAAGGTTGGTGGTATGAACCCACCCAGCAGCTTCGTGGGAGAAACACCTGGCAATCTGCTCCCATAAAGTTACAGCCACGAAAACCCTATAGGGCAGTTCTACTCTGTCAAAACGGGTCACTGAGTCAGAATCAACTTGATGGCACCCAACCACAATGTAACTTACAATGTGCTTTCCTAAAATTATTTTTATTAGCAATGAGGTAGAGTGACTTGAAAGGCACTTAAATTTAGAATTGCTACGTATCTGGTAAGACATCTGTCCAAGTTTAAGAACCGAGCAAAATGCCCAGATGGATTTTTATATTTACAAAAGAGTAACTATAAATAAGACTAATTTTAATAAAAGAAATATATGAGAACCTACAGATTCTAAGTAGGTTGATCCCTTTAAAGTAGATCCCAAGATCCTATTTCAGGTGATAAGAGGAGATACATACTCCCTCTTTGCCACTCCCCCCCACAAATAAAACCAAACCAGTTGTTGTCAAGTTGATTCCAACTCATGGCAACCCCACGTGCTGCAGAGTAGAATTGCTCCATAGGGTTTTCATGGCTGTGACCTTTCAAAAGCAGACTGCCAGGCCTTTCTTCTGAGGCACCTCTGGGTGGGTCTGAACTGCTAATCTTTCAGTTAGTAGTCAAGTACTTAACCATTTGTGCCACCAAGTGCTAGATTTATCAAGCCAAGGGCACAGAATTAAACAGGGGCTGTGAGGCTGCCCTAAAGGGTCTCTATGAGTCTGAATTGACTCAACAGCAACAGGTAACGAGTATGAGGCTGCCCAGTGCAGGACCAGATACAGCATAATTGGTCACAGCTTCTCCCTGATGCCTGGATTCTCTAATAAGTACAAAGGAGCAGGCGACCCGCTCCATGCAGGCAGAGTCCCGTCCGAGTTTATTAAACAGCCACATTCTTGCTCTGCCATCATATTCTTGTACTTGAACTTCTTCAATATCCCTGAAAAACTCATACTAATAATCTTTGTGTAGTCATTTTTAAAGTATTTACAAAAATTGAGTGCTCCTGTTTCTTGAATCAAACTCAGCTTCAGCAAGTCCAAAAGTTCATCCGCAGATAGAAAGCAGGGTCAGGGTCCAAGTGTCTCTGAACAATACCTCTCTGTCTAGGTTTCCAGCATCCCAGAAGGCTCTTCCCCCACCGTCTACCCCCTGGTTCTCATTCAATACACTTTATCTGGTTGGTGCTGATAAAGAATTTGGTCTGAGAAACTTGATCAAAAAATCCAATTCCCCAATCCAAATTCCAACAACATTCTTTAACAAACTGGAAAAATTAATCTCTACCTTTACATGGAAAGGAAAGAGACACCTGAGAAGCAAAACATTATTGAAGAAGAAGAACAAAGTAGGAGGTCTCACACATCCTGACCTCAGAATCAACTAAACAGCCACACTAGTCAAAACAGCCTGGTACTGGTACAACGACAGACACAAAGACCAACGGAACAGAACTGAGAATCCAGAAATAAATCCATCAGCTATGGATAGCTGATCTTCGACAAAGAGTCAAAGTCCATTAAATGGGGAAGAGATAGTCTCTTTAACAAAAGGAAGACCAGACTTAATGGTCTGAGACTGGAGGAACCCCAGAAAGCATGGCTCCTGGATTCTCTATCAGCCCAGAACTAAAACAATTTCCAAGGCCAACTCTTCAGACAGGGATTGGACTGTGGGACATAAAGTGATACTCGTGAGGAGTGTGCCTCTTAGCTCAAGTAGATACAAGAGACTAAACGGGCAGCTTCTGTCTGGAGGTGAGATGGGAAAGCAGATAGGGTTAGGAGCTGGTTGAATGGACATGAGGAATCGGGGGTGGAAAGGAGGAGTGTGCTATCACAGTATGGGGAGAGCAATTAGAGTCACATCACAATGTATCTATAAATTTTTGTATGGGAAAAAAAAGTTAAAAAAAAAAGGTGCTAGCAAAAGTGAATATCCATTTGCAGAAAAATGAAACAGGATCCATACCTCTCACCATACACAAAAACGAACTCAAAATGGATCAAAGACCTAAATGTTAAACTTAAAACTATAAAGTTCATGGAAGAAAACATAGGGACAAAGATAGGGGCCCTAATTTATGGCATAAATAGACTATCAAACATAAATAAAAATATACAAACAGCAGAAGATAAACTAGATAACTGGGACCTCCTAAAAATTAAATACTTACGCTCTTCAAAAGACATCACCAGAAGAGTAAAAAGAGAATCTACAGACTCTCTCTTCCTGCTCTCCATCATGGCGCAGGATGAAGGTGAAAAAGAAACCCCCATATAAGAACTCCACATCCGCAAGCTCTGCCTCAACCTCTGCATGGGGGAGAGTGGAGACAGATTGACCTGGGCAGCCAAGGTGTTGATGCAGCTCACAGGGCAGACCCTTGTGTTTTCCAAAGCTAGATACACCGTCAGATCCTTTGGTATTAGGAGAAATGAAAAAACTGCTGCCCACTGCACAGTCCATGGGGCTAAGGCAGAGGAAATCTTGGAGAAAGGTCTAAAGGTGTGAGAGTGCAAGTTAAGAAAAAATAACTTCTAAGATACTGGAAACTTTGTTTTTGGGATCCAGGAACACATCAATCTGGTGATCAAATATGTCCCTACCATTTGTATCTACAGCCTGGAGTTCCATGTGGTGCTGGGTAGGCCAGGTTTCAGCATGGCAGACAAAAAGCGCAGGACAGGTTGCACTGGGGCCAAACACAGAATCAGCAAAGAGGAGGCCATGGGCTGACTGCAGCAGAAGTACGATGGGTTCATCCTTCCTGGAAAATTAATTCCTATTTCTATCCAAAAGGCCAGTAAAAAGTCTTAGTGAAATGTACAAAAAAAAAAAAAAAAAAAAAGAGAGAGAGAGAGAAAACCTACAGACTGGGAAAAAAAATCAGCAATGACATATCTGACAAGGGTCTAATCTCTAAAACGTATAGAAAACTTCAACACCTCAACAATAAAAAGACAAACAATACAATGAAAAAATGAGCAAAAGACATGAACAGACACTTCACCAAAGAAGACATTCAGGCGGCTAACACATGAAGAGATACTCTCGATTATTAGCCATTAGAGAGATGCAAATCAAAACTACAATGAGATACCATCTCATTCCCACAATAATGTCATTGATCAAAAAAAAAAAACAGAAGACAAACACTGGTGAGGTTGTGGAGAGACTGGAACTCTTACATACTGCTGGCAGGACGGTAAAATGGTACAACCGCTATGGAAAACAGTATGGCACGTCCTTAAAAAGCTAGAAATACCATATGATCCAGTAATCCCACATCCTAGGTATATGAACAGACATATGCACACGCATGTTCACTGCAGCATTACTTACAATAGCAAAAAGATGGAAACAACCTAAATGCCCATCAATGGATGAATGGATAAACAAATTGTGGTACATACATACAATGGAATACTACATAATGATAAAGAATAATGATGAATCTGTAAGATATCTCACAACATGGATGAATCTGGAGGGCATTATGCTGAGTGAAATAAGTCAATTACAAAAGGATTAACATTGTGTGAGACCACTATTATAAAAAGTCAACAATAGGTTTACACAGAAAAAGAAACGTTCTTTGATGGTTACCAAGGATGGGAGTGAAAAGGAGGGAGAATCGCTAAACAGATAGTCGTTCTGGTGAAGGAAAAGGAACTACACAATACAGGGGAAATCAGCACAACATGACCAAGTCAAAGGAAGACATTGAGAGGTACACAAGAATAAATAGCAGCTACAGTAAATACCGTAACATATACCATCCTGCAACAACGGTAATAAAACAATAATTTATGAGTGGATACATAGGTAGATATGTATACTACAAAGATGAGACGACAGGGACGGGAAGGGAAACCTAATGAATGGAATCAGGGAAGCCAGGATGGAAATAGGGAGAGTGCTGACACATCGCGGGGATTGCAGCCAATGTCTCGGAACAATTTGTGTATGAATTACTGAATGGAAAACTAATTTGCTGTGAAAACTTTCACCTAAAGCACAATAAAATGTTTTTTTTAAAAAATCCAGTTCCTTGCAAGAGGCATCCATTTGGCAATAACCAAAGCATGTTTGGCATGAACTCCTTTGGATTTGCATTCTGGGTTGGTTTAAGATCATTATCCACAAAAATGGCCTTTTTACTTTATGGCCTTGTCTCATGTTTGACCCAAAACTATCGTTTATATTTTGACTTGAACTTTGCTCTAGTGTCAGCCAGATTCAACATTTACTCTTTAAATAAATATATTTTTTAAAAGTGCCAAAATAGATGGGATGATTCAAATTTCAAGAACCATGCCTGTCATCTCACCTGTTGCCAGTTAAACTGGTTCAAGGCAACCTTTCCTAGATAGATCTCTTAGTCGACTACCTTCCTCCCAAGAGATAAACCAGTTGCCACGGAGTCAGCTCTGACTCATGGCAACCCCATGTGTGTCAGAGCAGAACTGTGCTCCATAGGGTTTTCAATGGCTGATTTTTCAGAAGTAGACCACCAGGCCTTTCTTCTGAGGTACCTGAGAACAGACTCAAACCTCCAGCCTTTCAGTTAGCAGCGGAACAGGTTAACCATTTGCGCCGGCCAGGCCCTCCAAACAGAAGAAGGGCCGCTTAAGTTCATGCTCCTTTAGCCCTGGAAAGTCCTCTTAAATAAATTCAAAATTCTAAGCAATAATTATAACACATGTGGCTAAGATCTTTGTACATAAATCAATTCCCTTGTCAGCCTACTGTTGTGACTCTGCACAGCACAGAACCCGTAATTAAGCTGTCTCCAAGGCCTCACGGAAAGACTATTAAAGTGGGTGGGGTGGCCGAGTTCCCAGACCTGCTACAGCGGAACTGCCTCTTCCGGCTGGAGTTGTGCTAGGGTTGATCTACCCCCTCAGACACTGTGCTTCTCTGTCCCTCTCCCCACACGTATTGCTCTCTCACTCACACAGAGAACGCTGGAACGCTTACCTAGAGAAGACCAGGAAGGTGCCTGCCAGACGTCATTCAACTGCCAATAAAGTGCCCCCATGGTGTGTCCTTCTCCATTCACTATCTCGCTTCGACTGCGCCGGTAGAACTCAGTTTCTATTTTGACACACTGGGCCTGCGTCACCTGATTCAGGGGAAAACATTAAAACACAAGTGGTGATGTTTGATCTAGGCTGTCTAGATCTGAAGAAATTACAGACTTGAGTTTTTTAAAGCAAACTGGATAAATGAGGGAATTAGACTAGCATCAGGCACACCATTAATATACTAGACCTGGAATTAACACCTAAGCAGGAGAGAAGCCATTGCCTGTAGTAGGTGGTTTGTTGGGGTGGAAGGGGGGCTTGGTTGGTTGGTTTATTTATCACAACAGTGAGTGAAAGGGAATGCTGTTGTTAGTTGCTGTGGAGTTGATGCCAACTCATCGCGGCCTCATGTGTGCAGAGTGGAACTACTCCACAGGGTTTCAAGGTTGTGAACCTTTTCGAAGCAGATTGTCAGGCCTGTCTTCCCAGGTGCCTCTGGGTGGGTTCGAACCACTAACCTTTTTGCTAATAGTCAAGTGCTTAACCATTTGTGCCACCCACGGTCTCTGATGAAAGGGATTAAACCTATTGCCGTCCAGTCGAACTGCGACTCATAGTAACCCTACAGAACAGTGCAGAACTGCCCCATAGGGTTTCCAAGGCTGTAAATCATTTCGGAAGCAGACTGCCACGTCTTTCTCCCAGAGAGCAGTTGGTGGGTTCAAACCGCAGACTTTTCTGTTTGCAGCTGAGCACTTAACCACTACACAGCCAGGGCTCTTCTGATGAAAGGGAATAGGAAGGTGTAAAAGGGTCTTTGCTAATGATGATGCTGGTAACGAAAGAAAACGAGGACTATTATTCCAAAGCAATGCTACATATAGTCCAACACTAGGTTTTTTTTCAATGACAGGTTTTGCTAATACATTCATAGGTTTAAAAAAAAAAAAAAAACTTCTATTAGAGAAAAAAAGTTACTGTGAGTCTGATATTGTCCAGCCCCTAACTTCTCTTATCTAGTCAAACAACTGCTTTTATATCATAATTTTTGATAATGTTTCTTATGAATGTAACTCCTTCATTATAGCAAAACAGAAGATAAACTGCAGCAATGAGACAAGTGAACTTAGTTCTTTATAAGAGTCTGTTATGGATTGAATTGTGTCCTCCCAAAATATGCGCTGTAAATCCTAACTGCTATGCCTGTGGTTATAATTCCATTTGGAAATGGGCTGTCTTTGTTACGTTAATGAGGCAGGATTAGTGTACGGTGTGTCTTAAGTCAATCTCTTTTGAGATATAAAAGATTAAACAAACAATCAAGAAGCAGAGATGGGGTAAGATAGATGCCAAGACACAGGGAGATCTCCAAGGAACCCTGAAGCAGAAGCTAAAGAGACAAGGATCTTCCTCCAGAGCTGACAGAGAGAGAAAGACTTCCTGTACAGCCAGCGCTCTGAATTCAAACTGCTAGCCTCCTGAACTGTAAGAAGATAAATATCTGTTTGTTAAAACCATCCATTTGTAGTATTTCTGTTACTGCAGCACTAGATAACTAAGACATACGTACTAAAGAATTTCATACAGGACCTTTATTTACTGTCATCATCACTGAAAAATCAGTCTCTTTTCTTGCTATTATTTAAAGCAACTATAATACTCCAGAAGCCTGGGTGGCATGCAGTTTGAGATCAGCTGCTAACCTAACGGTTGGCGGTTCAAATCCAACCAGCAGCCCCGTGGAGAAAAAGCTTGGGGAACTGCTTCCACAAAGATTACAGCGAAGAAAACTCTACGGAGCAGTTTTACTCTGTAACACAAGAGATTGCCATGAGTTGAGGACTGATTTGACAGCAGCTAATCACAACAACAAATAATATTCTAGGCAAGAGATGATGTCAGCTGTGAACAGATAAAGAAGTGTCCTTCTCATCCAGGAACTAAACCACTGGGATCACAGCAACTGGAAAGTTTGCTCAAAAGAAAGTAAAGAAATCTCATAAACAAAGTAGCACTGGTAGCAACTCAAAATGACCACAGATACAGCCTGAATGTATTGGTCTAAGCCAAAGGGAGTAAAATAGAAACTATGGATTTTTAGCTATGTTGGTCAAGCTGCAATTATTCTCAGGATCCCTAGCCAATTTCCTTGTAAAAATGCCAACCTTATCTGAACAAAACAATACAATACAATACAAAAGTATTTATCTACTTCTAGGCCTGGATAGTTACACATGAGAAATTAAACTCCTCAAGTAAGTATTCACGTATTTGTCGAGTTATTGTATAAGATTAATGTTGTGGCAGCAACTTCTAAAAAGCTCAGTGAAGAAGATGCAGTTAAGTGAAACCTCAGTAGAGACAGATCTGCGGAGCAGTGCTGATTATTGGTCCATGCCTAGAGATTCTACCCCACAAACTTCCACAAGCATAGAAAGTAACCTATATATTTGTTTTAGAAATTTGATAATTAAAAGGAGTTAAACCCTGAGCCCCCAAATAATGCCCCCTATCAGCGCAGCCACCACGCTTCTGTCAGTGGAGATTTGCATGTTGTTATGATGCTGAACAGGTTTCAGAGGAGCTGCTAAACTAAGAGAGACTAAGAAAGGCCTGGCAATGTACTTCTGAAAAGCAGCCAATGAGAACGTTATGGATCACAACAAGACTGTCTGATCCATAACTGATCACAGGGACTGTGCAGGACTGGACAGTGTTTCACTCCATTGTGTACGAGGTCACCATGAGTTGGGGACCAACTTGATGGCAGTACTACAACAAGCAACAAAGCCACAGTTGGTCTATGGGGACAAAATCAAACCAGTCGCAATCCCTGTCACTGTAGCACACACAACCAAGGCCCTTGGTGACAAGAGATCTCTGCTCTCACCCCAAGATCCCTGAGAAGTCAGTCACTGCTCTATGGACTGTGTGTGAGGGATCTCTGAAGGAGAAACTGAGGAAGCCTGCATCCTGCTGATGAGTAACAGCAGGTGGGAGCAGGGAATTCCAGTCACCAGGCATTTCAGAAGCTAATGGCCCAGCCCTGACAGCCCCAGCGCAGAGAATGAATGGCAATCACCACTGGACACCACATTTTAGTTGCCAATCCACGGTTCTGCAACTCCCGGACCTGACGTATCCCCAAAGTCTGAGTCTGTCTTGAAATACCAAAAAGGACAAGAGGACCTGCAACATTTTGCCATAACCTCCCGCCCCTTCCAGACCAGGTTCAGTCCTCAACTCATCGGTGGGGTGGAAAAAGAGGAGTCATCTAAGGAATCTGGTAAGGAATCTGGAGTCACTTTCCTTGGGTCCAGATTTATAAAGTAGGGCAAATAAAAGTAAAAAAAAAAGAGAATTCTGAGGTGGTGTCATGGTTTGAATTATGTCCCCCCAAAAAAGTGTCTATTAGTTTGGCTGGGCCATGATTCCCAGAATTGCGTGGTTGGCCTCCATTCTGTGATTGTAATTTTATGTTAAAGAGGATTAGGGTGGGATTGTAACACCACCCTTACCCAGGTCACATCCCTGATCCAATGTAAAGGGAGTTTCCCTAGGGTGGGAAGAGATAAAAGGAAAGGGAAGCAAGCAGAGAGTTGGGGACCTCATACCATCAAGAAAGCAGTGCTGGGAGCAGAGCAAGTCCTTTGGACCAGGGTCCCTGTGCCAAGAAGCTCCTAGTCTGGGGGAACACTGATGAGAAGGCCGAGAGAGAGAAAGCCTTCTCCAGGAGCTGACACCCTGAATTTGGACTTTTAGCCTACTTTACTGTAAGGAAATAAACTTCTCTTTGTTAAAACTATCCACTTGTGGTACTTCTGTTAGAGCAGCACTAGATGACTAAGACAGGTGGGAACAAAGTATCAGTGTACGCCAGGATAAATGATTAAGTCCTCTCAGGGAAACATGGAAACTTCTACGACAAAGCCATAATTTACCAAAAAAGTCATGCTCATGCACAACTGGAACTAATCCAAAGGACAACCAGATATTTTACTATGGCCCTGGTAGAGGTGACCTGCATTTTCTTTTTGTTCATGGGGAATTTAAGCTACTTTTCAGGGGAAGGGGACAGGGAAATCTGAGAGCCCAATTATTCACATTACTCTAAATTCCTTTCCAAACTTCATTAATACGTACTGCAATTCATATACATCTATCATTTTGTACTCTGCTCTCACTTAATTTTCACACATATACATTTCCATGCTCTGGAACTTTCTATACATACCTTTGTGTTTTAAATTGTTATATAGTTACAGTTTGATTAATCATTCTCCAATTATTACCCATTAGAATGGTTTCCAGGTTTTTTCTTAAAATACAAGAGCTAAGAACACCTTCCTGTTCAAATAAATTTCTTCTCTTCTTGTGTTGTTTCCTTTGGTAATAATATACAGGTATGTCTCATTTTATTGAACTTCACTTTATTGCACTTCGCAGATATTGTGCTTTTTACAGATTGAAGGTTTGTGGCAACCCTGCGTTGAGCAAGTCTGTCAGCACCATTTTTCCAACAGCATGTGCTCACTTCATGTCTCTGTGTCATATTTTGGTAATTCTTGCCATATTTCAAACTTTTTCATCTTATTATATCTGTTATGTTGATCTGTGATCAGTGATCACTGATGTTACTATTGCAATTGTTTTGGGGTGCCATTAACCGTGCCCATATAAGATGGCAAACTTAATAAATGTGTGTGCTCTAACTGCTCCACTGACCGGCCGTTCCCCCATCTCTCTCCTTCTTATCAGGCCTCCCTATTCCCTGAGACACTACAATATTGAAATTAGGCCAATTGATAACCCTACAATGGCCGCTAAGTGTTCAAGTGAAAACAAGAGTTGCACGTCTCTCACTTTAAATCAAAAGCTAGAAATGAGTAAGCTTAGTGAGGAAGGCATGTCAAAAGCTGAGACAGGCCAAATGCAAGGCCTCTGGCTCCAAAGAGCCAAGTTGTGAATGCAAAGGAAAAGTTCTTGAAGGAAATTAAAAGTGCTACTCCAGCGAACATGTGGATGATAAGAAAGTGAAACAGCCTTATTGCTGATATGGAGAAAGTTTTTACTGTTCTGGATAAAAGATCAAACCAGC